TGCAGCAACAACCTCCAAGCGCCTCTTGACAGGGGTCGTACCTGCCATGGCTGAGCCTGGCCCAATCACAGTAAACTACTTCTTTGTAGTAGGAAAGAACTGATCGTTGAAGGAAGCCATCGGACCTGCTTTAGCAGGAACGACGGGAAGGATTGGATAAGCCAGCCACTGCAAAGTAGGTACCGTGGAAAGGTGTTGGGCAACTGCAAGGTACACGACTTTTCCTCTGATCGAATCAGCCTACAACGGCAGTTACGTTTTTTCCACTTGGCCAACAGCTTTTATCAAGTCGTCTTTATCGTGTCCTCTCATGTCGATATTGTCCCGTCTCGGCATCCATCATACCTAGGTAGCTTGACGCAAAGTCGAGTCACACACCCCACAGCTTTTCAATGAAGATCCCAAGACCCAGAATGGATAAACAAGCATACAAACTAGACTATTGCCTGGATATGGCATGATATGGCACAGCACAGCATGGAGCAGAACGGTATAGTGCAACGCAGAGAGTACAAACCCGTCACACTTGTCAATATTGAGAACGGTATGGCTGAGCACAAACATGTGTGTGACAAACCTCGGCCTTCGTGCATTGAGCCATGCAGCAGCGCGGAATTGTATGAAGCTATCCCGACTACATATCATTCGTTTCCACATATACCATCTAATAGTTGAGAGCAAGGTGCAAATAATGCCATATGTGGGGTAAAGGACAAAGAAACCTGGACCAGAATCAAGAATCATGCCTGTTTATATGGAGTCGGTATGAGTACAACACTAGGGGATATGCGGTTGGCTGCGCGGCTTTGCGCTTCACTCGACGATCGCCACAGACATTGCTAGTATCAGGAACAGCAGATACACGCTCCTACTAGTATTCACGGTCTTGTTGGCTTGTCGCGAGTATCATCATAGTGTGCTTTCAGCGGCCCGCGCGCATGAGCTGGCCCGCCTACCCGCATGGGAACCCTCCGAACGCCGTCTCAATGAAGTAAATGATACAAGAGAGCAGCCGCGTTAGTTTCACCCGAAGTATCAATCTCGGCAGTATGGATTTTACTACACGCGCGAATTTCAGCTCACATGAGTCCCTATCATTGCAACACTACACGATCAATCCCTTGATGGTGTTGAGAGTTGACCAAAGCCGAGAGGATGACGCCAATTCTGCACGCTTTCTTTGTTCGCACTCGAACAGGGATGGTCCCTTATCCTTGAGCTCTTTTAACCCCAGAACGACCTTACATTCTGTGGACTATCTAATCTACAAGGGGATTAACCGTCTTCCTCGCGGATCATGTGCAACACCCGCTGGCTCCACAAGGCGTCTAACGCCTCCAACGCCTCTCGCGTCTTAGCTTAGCCAAGGGACAAGGGATAATGACAGAAACCCTACTACGTACCAACAAACACCTTAAGGAAGAAAATTTTCCTCAAGACGTGCCGTGGAACAAGCTCGGAGGTGACCGCTTCGGGGTGCAAGAGAAACCCGTGAGGAATAACTGTCCCTACACCAGAACCATGCGGGCTTTCACCACCTATTCAATGAGCCTAAAGTAGGACCTCTTGTCATATATTGCCATATAACTTTACTGGAGTATTTCTATTAGCATATGCGGACCCTTTTTGTACTAGATTAGGACAAGTATCATGTCTCCTTATGATGGCCCTAGCAGGGCATGGAGATCTGAGGGCCCGCTCCCATCAATCAGTAGGGCAAGTTCTGTGGCGTCATGACACAAACCATACAGCACATGCCGTTATTGTCTGTTGAATTAACTGGGCGGAATTCTACAGCGGGAGAAGCATCGAAAAGATGGTGGGCAGGGAAACACACTTGTCAAGTCCATGTGGCAGCTACAAAAAAGGAGAAGTTCGGCAAATTCCTCGCAGCTGCTTACTGGGGAGGATCAGCCGTTGGACCTATGACTGCTGCGGTGGGACTTGGAGCGAGTTTTGGCGTTCATGATGTCCAGTCCGCGTACTAGCAAGGGAGCTTAAGATCTTTGCCGCATGGTTTCGATTGCGGCTACAGGCATGCTCTCAATATCAGCTACTGGGGACCCACGCCTTGACCACCAAGGTGATAAACAACGGCCCAGCATCGAGTTCAAAGTACGATGTACATTTTAGACCAATATCACATAACAGCTACTCCTAGCTGCCATATGATGCAGCCATTACGCTCATGAACAGCAGTCAGTCTTCAGCAAAATAGGCTGATAAGCAACAGTCACATAAAGGAATCGAAGCAGCTGGCCTGTTTGGATGCGGCCACAACGTTGAGTACAAATTGAAAGACGCATGATGGTGGTCACCCCTCAATACAAAGAGCACATTCGTGAAGTGTGGGTGCACGATGCCCCATCATACAAGTGCCCCATTGAACCGAGCAAGGCTCACACACCTCGGGCTGCAAGATAAAAATTTTATGAGGAGAGGCATTCTTATTTCGTCGCTTGAGGCAAAGTATCTCAAGAGAGCTTGCATCAATATGCCCGATTGGCCCCCATAGTGTAGTAAAAGATCCTTGATCTCAAAGGCCAGGATAACCCTCCAGACACACTCTTCTTTAACAGTCACACCGGGAGAGAGATCAGAGTCAGAAAATACTGCTAAACCTCGAGCGAGCACACTCCAATGTGGTTGGTCTTGTTCAAAGCCCCTTTGTGGACTGATGTACCTTGACGTAAGTCGACCCTTGGACTAGCCCGCCAACAGAGCGTGGTGTTGCGGCACACAAACTACTACCTGATTTGGGACCCGGAAGTAATATTTCACTTGAACAAGTTGATTGTCTCATTTTCCAGAAATCCCTTCGTCTGGTTTTTGCAGTTTGTTTGCGGGGACCCGACCTGAGAGCAAGGGCCGAGAAGAAAGAGGAGTGAGTGCCTAACAGCACCAACCCACACCCCCCTCATCCAAGCCTCACCCCCTGGCCGGCCCAGGACCAACTGACTAGGTAGTCAACCAACCATTTTACCTATCTAAGCAACCAGCTCCTGGTCTTCAACACCGAGCAAGTGCGAACGGGACCAACAATCGATTTTCCTTGCTATCATTGTGAGGGTTATTTCGACTTTGACATTGTGGGATCTCCAAGACACCTGTGCACATCACATAGTGTCATGGACAGCAAACTGCCTTGCTCTATCATACTCGTTTCCAAATCTTCGGGACAGTTTCACCAGCTATATAAAGGCCAAGGACATCTGGCTTTGTTTCAATCATCACAGCTCAGACTCAGACTCAACAGCACTGTCATCTACACAAAAATCTCAGATTCCCTACACTCAAGCCTCTCAGCTCCAACTTGAACATTTTCTTGGTGTCGAACCTGAAATAGTTTACCACAGCAGCCAGCCTATTTTACCCATAAGATACACAAAGCCACACCCGTCGGCACTTGTGCAACCAAACCCCTTTACAAACTTTTCGGATCACGGCTGTGGACTATCTAACGTTTACTGAGAGTAACTTTGGTTGTCAACCAAGACTATCCTCGCACAAAACGCAAAAGGTCTATATATATATCGAAGCACCGAAGCAATCTTCGCTTCAGTCTCAGCTCACCGCATCTTACTTTTACAACAGCACCAAACTTTCAGCAAACATGTGCCAGTGGAAGATTACCGAGACATGGACCTGCGGCTGTAGGAGTGTTGAATATATTCAGCAGCCCGGTACTACTTGCCGATGCACTTCTAAAATCACCGACCAGGGCACGCGGCCCTGGGACGGATATTGCAAACGCCCCGAGTGCCCCAAGGCCTCCTAATAGGTTGGTATTTGAGTTCCCCTTTTGCAGCGAGCCTCTAAGTACCAGTTAGCTAATTTGTGTCTATTGGCAGCGATCCACGCTACCTCGAAGGAGGGGGGAGACATTATGAGCGGGCAAATCGAGAACGGGTAGAAGCTTGTCGTTGATGGGGTTTCCTATTTCTTTCTGAACTCACATTTGCTTGTATCCCTAGATGGATCGTTGTATCCCTGGAGTTGTTTGGCAACAAACTTGAACTCCCAGAACAGCACAGACGAGAGGATGATACAGTCAGTCATTTCCGAGTTTCTCAGGTGGAGGAGAGTTTCTGGATTATTATTATTTATGTTTCTTCTACATTCATCTATCTACTCTCATTGATAGTTTAAATTGCATTTTACTTTATCTTATATTATCGTATCCCTTGAGTCAATTGTTCATACCTGAAGCTTGCTCGAGATATCTAGAGGTGTCTTTGTTGAATAAGCATTGCAAGGAGTGTGATAGTGAGGGGTGTGTATAGTAATAGACAGGGATCCCATGTTGTTGTGGATAGGCGAGATTTCAAGGACTGGGGTCGTCTCGCTTACTCTGTTAACCTTTTTTTTTTTTACTTGGTGGACAAATGATGGCCTCTGAGTGTTTTTCTTGTTGTCATCATCACTATTTTGCATGTTCCACTGCCCTTCAATGGTTCTGATCTGGGCCTTGATTCGACTCAATCTTTGGCTTGAAGTTGGATTAAGTTGAGTTAGATAGCCCCACTCAACCTTGTGGCCCTATCTGCGACCGCCTACGCCACGCTACGCCACGACGGTTCAGAACCGTCATGGCCATAAGGATGGCCCTATCGAAAGCCACAACCAACACATCGACGCAACAAAGCGGGAAATGTTTCATCTACTTTGTTCTTACAGCCTCACTGCGGAGGAAGAATGAGAAGAGAACGCCTCGTGAGCGTTTGAGAATAACTATGACAGTTAGACAAGATATCACAGCCTCAACAGGAGCCATAATAAATGTTCCGTGTAAGTCAAGTTTGTACCTATGCAGCTGATGCCAACGCCATATGTTGCACTGCGCTATGCTCAGGTCTTGCATCAGAGACCTAGTACTGGAACAGCTCCAATGGGAAACGTTCCTTTTTTGTTTCTTTCGTTGCTGAACTATCGAAGGAAGGAAAAGAAAGACACAAGACTCGGCAAGACAAGACAAGGCAGAGTTGAAGCTGAAGCTGAACCTAGCTGGATCTCGACAAGCCTGTCATGTCGTTAAGATTAAGCGCCCAATATGGCACGTACCCTCTTTGTCTAAGTTAGTGCCGATTTACTAGCTCAGACCGAGTCATCCATTCATCGAGTCGGTGTGAGTTGAAATACTAACTATTTCCGTTGTTTTCCTTTCTGTCTCTCATGATGATGGCGTCTTCCTTTTCTTTTCTTTTCTTTTCTCGTAACTGAGGCTGGCTGGTCTACCCCTGACCCTGAGCCCTGTTGCTGTTGCTGTTGCTGTTGGTGGAGTTGCAAAACAAGTGGGTGGCAGATTTGCGTGCAGGCGTCACACGTCATGTGACCCTGTTGCTGCTGTTACTAGGATGGGCCTCAAAATTGTCAATAGTTTAAGTTGACTTACATTTACTCGACTTGCCTAAAACAAGTTAACCTAAACTTGGCTAACTATTACCTAGTGATGGGTTATTCACCCAACCCTTTTTTTTCTTTAATTAAATTACATACACTGAGACCGTTGAGAAGGGAAATGAAATGTCATACTTCCGGCAGCGATCTGATAATACTAACCTATTTTGACAAAGTAAAGTATGTGTCTGTGTAAGTCAAAGACAGGCAAAAGGTATGCATCTCCAAACTCGAATTGATCAATCGCTCAACTGCCAATCAAAAACATGTTATTATCCTTTTCATGCTGCTATTCTTGACCGTTGTACCCGTCAGTTGAACGTGGTACGAATAACAGTCCCGTCAACTTTGTCTATCCCGAATCCGTCGTGACATGGTAACACCCGCACGACTCTGAAAAAGTCTCCGGCCCGTATATACAGTACAACTCACCTCATGTTGGTATCCAGTGTGACATTTCACATTTTGGCATATCGCTTGGATTAATTGCCGTTGGCTTGTCCTTCCGCTCCCATCCGGCCCGTACGTGACGTGTCGTGTCATATCGGCCTGTGGCATGATGAGCATCTTCTTTTGTAAATATCTCCGCCTTGACAGTAATTTTTGTAAAATATGTTTTTCTGGGCTGGGAGATACGTAGATGTAAACCTATTCCCTGTTTGGGGTGGAACGATATTCACTTGTGAGACGAACTACATGGCACTTGATATTGTATGGCATAACAAGCGAGCACTCTTGAAAAGGAGAAGACAGTAAATAGTACAAGGCTGTTACAGGTTGGAAAGATATGTCAAGTCATCGCTCAGACTTTCTCTCATTTTATATGAACCCTAATGGCGTTGATCTTCATATCGCTTTGCGTTCTGAGGACATCGTGCCGATCGTCTTGTCCGAAGCAATGCTGTTTAATTCCAGCTAGTTCTAGCAGGAAACGCTTATCAAGCTTCTACATAGTAGCCTATTAAGTTAACCAAGTCGTCCTAAGAGCGCCTCGGACATTTTACTTGATGCCCAAAACTTCCTGTGAGTCAAACACCTAACTTCAGAGGTGGTCATCAGATAAGTTTGCATAATGGCGCCTATATTAAAGTAGAATCACGAAGTGAATTAATCGAGCGTATGCTATCTCACCATTTTGTAGGGGAAGTTTTTATCTTTCAAAAAGTGAATCGCACCAGACTTGATTGATGTATGGAGTGAGGGCATATACTCATTCATTGTTTATTATTAGCATGCTTGGTTCCTGATCAAAGCAACCCATTCCAGAGGCGACATGCTATCTTTAACGGAAGTAGTACGATTTAATGCCTATTTCATCTCCTTCAACGCAAATCTTCCCTTGGAAATGTGAATTTGAGCCGATCTAGAGCCAATAGACTTGCGAGCACCGAACCCTCATACCATGTCATATCCATGCATTGGCGCCTCCAAACCATCATCCCTTATAAGGCGCAGCCCATTTTTCCATCACCACGCTTACTTCTTTCCAGAGCCGGATGAGTAAGAGTCACCGCTGGGCGCCGTGTAGGTTGAGCCACCCTGTCCATTGTTGTGGTAGGTGCTCCCGTTGGGGTTGGAGTAATAGTAAGAGCCATCCCTTAGAACTATTAGCGACCTATAATCTCTGAATCATCACTCAATCTGGCTTACGTGTTGGATTAGTGGTAGGAGTTTGAGTTGGAGACGCTGGAACCGTAGTCACGGGAGCGGTAGTGGTTTCCCTGGGTTCATGTGAGTACCATGTGAGACGAAGCTGGGAACCCAAAGTCAAAACATACCTGACTGTTGGTGCCGGAGCTTTTGATATCGTAGTTCTCAGGCACGTTGGCGGTGTAATGAGATGATTGGCGATGTATTGAGATGAAGATGGAGAGAATTAGTTCAGAACAACTCGGGGGAAGAGAGAGTTTATAAAGTCGGTGGGAAGCCTTGATTTCCAGAGAAGTATCATACAGGAACCCACTGCAGCTTCCTGCTTGTTCGTTGTTTGTGATGATTCTATTGATGATTCTATTGATTGTATTTGCTTTGTTCAGATGTTTGACCTCGACTAGCTTGGAAATTGCAGGGGAGGTTATCGTGTACCCCGCTTAGTGGTTGTAACGCAGGTCAAGCTAGAGTTGCAACATGAGCTGTCTCGTTCGATAGATTGTAAGTGGTTCAAACTCTATAGAAACATGATAAGCTTGCTTGGTTGTTTTGATACTGTAACCTACATTAGCAGTGGATGGATACGTGAGGCATAGGGTAAGCATGTGACAAGGGGATACTTGACTGGGCAAATAAGTTTCCATAATCTACCCTGACCTATCAAACCAAACATTCAGTGGAAAATTGAATGGTTTAAGGCATTCCGTTACCTGAGGAAGAAATGATCTCGTAAAGCTGGGATAGATTTATACACATAGTTGATGTTCATCTTGTACCCAACTTATTGGCCAGAGTCATCATCGAGACAGGAACTATGAGGTCAGCTTATTTTTCTCGTCACAATTTGTGTTCGTTCCTCTATGTGTGTCAGGAATTTCCGTCGACTGCAATGTCTTTTCCCAATCTAATGTGATTGGGTGGAAACACATCGGCCATATATCCGTTTCCTTGCTTAGAAACACCAAACTCCGGACGAGAAGAGTGGTTGTTTGAGAAAAAAAATGTTTATAAAAAGGCTTCCTCCAAGTGCTGTCAAACAGCTTTCACAAGCTCACTGAAATTCCAAGACCTGTTACTCCAATCAAGAACCAATCCACACTTACGCTTTGCTATGGCGCCTAAAATCTTCCTGTAAGTGAAACTCACACAGCACATCGACTTCTTATGTTTGCGATAGAAGCTTATTTAATTATAGTACTGGAGCCACAGGTAAGAATGCACCAACCACAGGAATTGATTGTGCTCAATCTGACATTTATTGACAGGCTACGTTGGTGGCACTACCTTCTCCATGCTGCATGAGACTTATCCTGAGTACGATTATACACTCTACGTTCGCAATCAAGATCGTGCCAAAATTATTGCCGAAAAGTTTCCCGACGCCAAGTTCGTTTACGGTGATCTTGACAGCGTTGATGTGATTGAGAAGGCAGCCTCTGAAGCTGATGTTGTCGTCCGTACGTATAAGAGTCCATCCAACTGAGTACTGAGTATGATAGCTTACATTAATTACAGACACGGCTGACTCTGCGGATGCACCTGAAGCTGCCAAAGCCATCACAAAAGGCCTCGCTTCTACCCACACAGCTGAGCGCCCAGGATATTATGTTCATCTCTCAGGTGCAGGTCTCCTCACCTGGTATGATATCAAGCACAATCGCTACGGAGAACCACCTCTTCCCGAGCAAAGTTACAACGACATTAAGGACATAGATCGCATACTGAATATGCCTGATGAAGCAATTCACAAAGATGTTGAAAACATCATCCAGAGCATCGACTCAGATGTCGTCAAGTATCTCATGGTGTCCCCTCCCGTAATCTACGGACCAGGCAGAGGCTTGGTCCACAAGCAGAGCTTTGCGATTACTGAGATAGTTAGGGCAAGTGTCGACCTCGGCTTCACCCCGATCATCGGGGCTGGTAAAGCAAAATGGGACAACATCCATGTTGAGGACCTCGCAGAGATCTTTGTAAAAGCCGTGGAAGCATCACAGAGCCCCTCCAAAAAAGAAGATGACTCGGAAATCTGGGGTAAAGAGGGCTACTACTTTGTTACTACAGGAGAGCACCAGTGGGATGACCTTGCGCTGTGGATCGCAGAGGAAGTGCATCGTCAGGGATTTATCCCCGAGCCCAAGACCAAGTCCATCTCGATGGAGGATATGATTAACGCAGGATATAAGGCGGCTATTGCATGGGGGACTAATTCTAAGAGTGAGGCCGAGAGGGGAAGAAAGTATCTGGGGTGGGAGTCGAAAGCGCCGTCACTGAAGGCAACGATTGCCAACGCAGTGGCTGCTGAGACTGCGACTCTTGGGTTGAAGCCCAAGTATAAGTGAGGGTGACGAAGTGGATCGTGATAGTAGTTTGTGAACAGACCAATTATAAGCTTGTTATATCAACCTATCAAACTGGGGCCATCAACTGATATCTGGTAGTGTCTAATCTATCGGCTGGGTTTGATGGCCGAGGTCTGACAGCACTCTCCAACATAACATCAGTTGTCAGTGAAATCGAAAAGTCAACGGAAACGGGCCAGCCGTAGGGTAGAATCCACGAATAATTATCTACGAGTTTCTAGAGGCTATCAAAAGCTGTCATTCGTCAGACAGCGAGTCAGAAACTCGTCTGTCATGGACATGATGGTTGCAAACGAGTAAGTAGTTAGTTATAGCATCACTATCGGACAAAAATCTGCACGTTAGACAAGTGGTTCCGAAAGCGGCAAATGCTGTTATCGGGATTGCCGTCAGAGATTGGGTACGTGGAGAATTGCAGCTACGACGTAGACTGGTATTCTTTGCTTTAGGGTAGAAAAATAACCAGTCTAACAGTCAGGCCTAAGAAGCATAAAGTGATTTACTAATTTAGTCTCTTATGCTTCTAGCGGCCAGCCTTTCTGATACCCTGAGTGAAGGTTGGGCCGGACTGCAACTGCGACAGACGTACATGTCTTCCTCAGGCATGCAGGCTTCGGAACAAATTTTGCTTCTAGAGGCGGCTAAATCCTTGCCACTTGTGCAGGTGCTGGGCAATGATTTGCTGAGGCGATAGAAGAAAATCTCTTTTTTCCATCTTGAGCTCACAGTGTGTACATTGCGTTTTGCCCACACAAAATCATGATGTATCAGTAAATGATGTCCACTAACATAGAGAGAGAAACATGGACTGTTGTGTGTATTAACCATTGATCAATGATAGTCTATACCCGTAGCAACCACGTCTCCAGCCTAAAATTGCCTCGTCCCATTTTAAAGCACCTCATTTGAAAGCGCGATAATAATTTGGTTGCCCAGTGCCCAGCTACCATCTAAGAAAATGTCAATCGAAAAAAAAAATCAGATGGAGCATGAAAAAAACTCAGGCGAGAAACTTTACCTCTATAGGTTTAGTGGAGGGGATCCCTACCGACCACTGCCCCGCCCCGCAGAAAAAGTTCACAGGTCCCTCCAAAATTTATTATTCTTTTAACGCCCGCTCAAAATCGATGTGGGAGAATTTCCTTTCTTGAAACCCCACGTTCTTCCTTCTCTCCTCTTCATCTCTCTCTTCCCTTTTCCACCACAAACCTTTCAGACAAGACAAAATGGCGGACGAAGTTTACGACGGTGCTATCGGCATTGATCTGGGTAAGTCATTACTCTCGACCTCATTATCACCTTGATATTGGTTGTCGTCGCCTTTTTGAGATATTTCGCCCTGTGCGCCGTCAGGCGTTTACTTGCTTTCTGACGTTCTCAAAACGAAAACACCAAGAGGCAATACAGTCATCTCAAAGAAGCAACGCAGCCATTTATTCATCAACCGCATTCACGCAACTGAAACAACCCCGCTAACATCACCCTCCCTCAGGTACTACCTACTCCTGCGTTGCTACCTACGAGGGTACCAATGTCGAGATCATCGCCAACGAGCAGGGTTCTTTCACCACCCCTTCTTTCGTTTCCTTCACTGAGAAGGAGCGTCTGATCGGTGAGGCCGCCAAGAACAATGCTGCCATGAACCCCCGCAACACTGTCTTCGATGCCAAGTGAGTTTTGCTCTCTTCCCGACTCTTTACAAGCAGTTTCTGACTGAGATTTCCAATAGGCGTCTGATTGGTCGTCGTTTCGATGACCCTACCGTCAAGAAGGATATCGAGTCTTGGCCCTTCAAGATTGTCGATGACAACGGCAGCCCCAAGATCGAGGTCGAGTACCTCGGTGAGAACAAGCAGTTCTCTGCCCAAGAGATCTCCTCCATGGTCCTTACCAAGGTATGCACACAATTTTATTTTTGGCGAGCGGACTTTCCCGCCCCGCCCCCGCACTAGCGACTATTATTAACTCCTCCAAACAGATGAAGGAGATTGCCGAGACCAAGCTCGGCAAGAAGGTCGAGAAGGCAGTCATCACCGTTCCTGCCTACTTCAACGATAACCAGCGCCAAGCCACCAAGGACGCCGGTTCCATCGCCGGCCTCAACGTCCTCCGTATCATCAACGAGCCTACCGCCGCCGCCATTGCCTATGGTCTTGGTGCCGGTAAGTCTGAGAAGGAGCGTAACGTTCTTATCTACGATCTCGGTGGTGGTACTTTCGATGTCTCCCTCCTCAACATCCAGGGTGGTGTCTTCACTGTCAAGGCTACTGCCGGAGAGTAAGTCAACATAATCCACAGACCCCAGAGAAGCATATCATGCTAATTATATCACTTCAGCACTCATCTTGGCGGCCAAGACTTCGACACCAACCTCCTCGATCACTGCAAGAAGGAGTTCGGTCGCAAGACCAAGAAGGACCTCTCTGGCGATGCCCGTGCCCTCCGACGTCTCCGAACCGCCTGTGAGCGTGCCAAGCGTACTCTTTCCAGCGGTGCTCAGGCCACCATTGAGATTGACTCTCTCTTCGACGGTGAGGACTTCACTATGTCCATCACCCGTGCCCGTTTCGAGGACTTGAACGCCAAGGCTTTCTCTGGCACCATCGAGCCCGTTGCCCAGGTCCTCAAGGACGCCGCTATCGAGAAGAAGGCCGTCGACGAGATTGTCCTCGTCGGTGGTTCTACCCGTATCCCCAAGATCCAGAAGCTTCTGTCCGAGTTCTTCGATGGCAAGAAGCTCGAGAAGAGCATCAACCCCGATGAGGCTGTTGCTTACGGTGCCGCCGTCCAGGCCGGTATCCTCTCCGGAAAGGCCACCTCCGCTGAGACCGCCGACCTCCTCCTCCTCGATGTCGTTCCTCTGTCTCTCGGTGTCGCCATGGAGGGTAACATCTTCGCCTCCGTTGTTCCCCGTGGTACCACCTGCCCCACCCTCAAGAAGCGAACCTTCACCACTGTTGCCGACAACCAGCAGACCGTTCAGTTCCCCGTCTACCAGGGTGAGCGAACCAACTGTGAGGACAACACCAGCTTGGGTGAATTCACTCTTGCTCCTATCCCCCCCATGCGCGCCGGTGAGGCCGTCCTCGAGTGTGTCTTCGAGGTCGATGTCAACGGTATCCTCAAGGTCACTGCTACCGAGAAGACCTCCGGCCGCAGCGCCAACATCACCATCTCCAACTCCGTCGGAAAGCTCACCACCGACGAGATTGAGAAGATGGTCAACGAGGCTGAGCAGTTCAAGAGCAACGATGATGCTTTCCAGAAGAAGTTCGAGGCTAAGCAGCAGCTCGAGTCCTACATTGGCCGTGTTGAGGAGATCGTCTCCGACCCCACTCTGTCCCTCAAGCTTAAGCGTGGCCAGAAGGAGAAGATCGAGAGCACCATCTCTGATGCCATGGCCGCTCTTGAGATCAACGAGAGCACCGCTGAGGACCTTAAGAAGCAGGAGCTTGCCCTCAAGCGTCTTGTTACCAAGGCCATGTCCTCCCGATAAATGCACAACACTGTTTGAGATTGCAGTGGTGTAGATATCCCGGAGTACTGATATTGGAGCTTTGATAACCAAGCACCCTAGACGCCTCGCGAGGGGTGATAGGGTTTACGACCGGCCTGGGTGGAATTTCCCTTTGTCATTAACGGTAATTGGACAGGGGAGATGACCAAGGCATATGAAAAGTTCTGCATGTTTCATGGGTATGCCGCTCCCGGACGTGGGCGGCTATGACTACTAAAATGAGAGCCGATGGAAAACAAAAAGGGTCCAAGATGATTGTAGACTCGTTGGCCAGGGTTTACAAGGGGTGGACAATGGCCTGTGAATTTAAGCATAGATATGGTAGATTGCAGAAAAGGAATGATGCTATTTTACCTATTCAAATTTTGCCCTCCTTTATGATGTTTACCAAAAGAAACTTGTTAACACCTCATCAAGCTAGACAGGAGCTGGCGGATGGTCTGCAGATAGCGCAATAGTTCATTGTCTATTGCGTTTCATTATGTGTTTACTTTAATTGTATCAATATTGCCCCGTTGTGACCTTCACGCTTGGTCACATATAATCTGTATAGTCTTAGTGGCTAGCTGTCTAAATGAAAAGATGTTCCTTCCTTTTCTCAACATACGGCACACCAGCCTTCTTAACTGTCTTCTGTAGAGTACCCAGTAGAGATCCATCCAAGATTCACATGCGCTTAGAGTAGAAAATAATAAATAACCTAAGAGCAGGCCTAATCTTATTAAAAAAGCCTAAGAACAAGTCTGATGTGGCATACAGTAGCTAAATTATTTCATTTCTTAGGAAAATAGTCGAGCCTTTTGTGGTCCAGAAGATCTTGCTCGGTATAAGAATGGCAAGTGCTTATCTAGTAGGTACTAGACGAACACTCACTCGTATTGTCTCTATAATTGGTTAAGTTTTGTCTTAGGAAACCCCTTGTCAAGCTTTCCTCGGTATGTGAAAGACAACACCACCTTAGAACCTGCTTTGCGACACAAGAACCGAGATACCCCTTGGCAAGGCCAATGACTCTTTTCCTGTCCTGGCGCCCACCATGGCTCGCACAAGATGACATATCATCTGCATCATCGTCATCGTTGCCGACCACTTCCTCGTTCTCCTCTGGCAATACTCTCCCATCATCATAGTCTCCATCAGCTGGATCTTCTTGAGTGTCCTCATTGACGCCCAACTCATCATCTTCGTTGTGAGCGTCTGTATCTTCGAGTGGCTGGGCGTTGGGCTGTCGAAAGAACTCGATGATAGTTTGTATATCTCTTTCGGGTTGTCCGAGGGCCTTGATGCACCTGATCTCGATGGTACACCAGTATGCCTCAATTCTTTGAATTGATCTTGCGAAATAACATCAATTGTCGCTACACCAGGTGGTGGATTAGGCAGCGCAGCAGACCCAAAACAGGTGACTGAAGTGGTCAGATGAAGTAAAGAAGCCACGGCCAGGGAGTAGCATTGTCTGGCCTGCGAGGTCGGCAAGTGTGTTGTGTATGGGCGTTCCTGTCAGCATGAGAATGCGACTGTAGTCGAGATGGAAGATAGCTCTGTTGAGCTTCGATGTTGGCTTCTTTGCATCGTGGGACTCATCGAGGATCAACACCGGAATGCTTTCTTGCGTCTGAGTATAATTCAGAATACAGGAGAGACTGCCGACGGTTCACAGGGACGCCTTTTGCCTTTCGGCGCTGTGGTAGCTGGAGAGTCTGCCGGGTGGTTGATCCTGAAGGCCCATACACAGTGTCTAAGGCGGATTGCATAAAATAGTTTCTCCAGTCTGCGAATCGTTGTACGACAAAGTTGCCAGAACAAATGACAATGTCATGTTGTAGCAGGAATGATGGGTGGACATATTCGGAGCTTTCAAGTTTAATGAATGACGGGCGACACTCCTAGATAGATGTAGGCTTCCAGCGCCAACTTGTCTGATACTCCCAGGCACACTTCTTAGGCGTTGGCTGGTGAACATAAACGATGCGCCCTGGCGTGGAATCGCCAGTAAATAAGAATATAATAGCTTAGAGATATGAACGCTGATATGAGAAGGGCATAATCAGTATATGTACAGAATTTTGAATATAGAAAGGGATGTGAAGGAGAGAATGAGATGATAAATGAGTAGATGAAGAAGAGACGAAAAGGAGGCGGGAGAGGAGGAGAAGAGAGGAATACATATGACAGAGAAGAGGAGTGGATGCAAAAGAGGAGACAAATAAAAAAGACAAAATGAAAAGAAAATGCAAAGAATTTACTGACTTGATAAACTAACCATTGTTTAATCTGTGAATTATTGCTTGCTCGGTGAATTACTGCCTCGCCCATGTTTAGGCTGCCTGGTTTGTTTCCATTCGATACTTTTTTCTTCTCTTCTCCTTCACTTCACTTCATTTCTCTTCCTCCTGCATGAATTTACTGACCCTCCTATCAACAACCAGCAGCATCTAGCTGCAGATGCCAGTAACATGGCTGGCCTCACAGATATGCCACCAGAGGTATTAATTCTCATCGGAAGCTATTGCGACAAAGAAACAATCAGGTCGATTGTATCAGTATGCATTCAAACAAACATAAAATTAAGTGCCTACCGGTCTAAAGACTTCCGCGCGTGCGCAGATGCAGGCTGGATTGCCTCTTACCTGCAGACACTGCTTGCAACTAAACCTGAGGAGCGCATTACCCATCGGCTAAGTGCTATTGAGTAAGTGACTGCTTCAAGTCAACAAATATATGCTAATTATCTTCTATTAGAAATGCTACAATCCTAGTCAATCCCTCCCTTCCGCCCCAGGGCTCGGAGGAGTCACAAGAGCTCCCTGAACCGCCATACAATGACCTAGTCGACTCGCTCGGCAGCCTGCTTTGCAAGATGGTTGAACTTCGATATCTGAGGCTAGATATTAAGTGCTTGCCTGCTGAGAGTATGGGAAGGCTTGCAGAACTCATCCACTCTTATCGTCGTGAGTTTATGGCTTCAAAGGGCATGCCACTGCAACATTGTGCACTCTATATCAGCGCATCAGCAGAGGTCACGCTAGCTTTTCTCGCCATCTACAATCCTTCTCAGTTCAAGTCACTTCATTGCGACGCTAAGGAACTAATGCTACCTGAAGAGCGGTCTATAGAGCCAGGAGATACCATATCGAGGCTGTATTCCGACCAATACCGGAACATCATAAAGATGCAGAATCTTGAGCGCCTTTGCATTTGCTTTTCACCAGACGAGCAAGATGAAAAAGACGAACAAGAAGAGTCAATCAGTGGCATGACCACTGAAACGACTTTTAGAGAGATTAGGGAGATCACCTCTAATTTCCCACGGCTGGAGTGGTTGATAATCCACGACAACACAGCCTTTATTCAGGATTACATGGAGGTAGTGGGATTCGGCACAGTATACCATGGACAGGTACGTATTGCTATATGGTTAAGCTATACCAACCTCAAGGGACCTGCCTAGCTAACCTATTATCGCAGCAATTCGACAGAATTTACAATTGCCTACAAAGCCGCACAAACCTTACTCACCTGGCTTTCACTATCCACTCTCATCGCATGTCATTACAACTCAGAATCCATAATCTACTGGACGAGGACGAACCAATAGGAAATCAAATCACGAGACTGTATTTTCAGTTGGCGCGTAGGCTTATAGCGGCCAATCCACAACTGCAACACGTGGTTCTCATGGACGAATGGCCCTACCACTACTCTGCTAGAAAGGATGATCTTGGAGTGATAAGAACTGATAAGAACTGATAAGAAGGATGGTCGAGATGTTGGCGCATTATCAAGTTTCCCTCGCGGGCTCTGGCCTTAGGGACATACGATACAGTCGCCTTTCAACAGGCGAAATGGCTGCGCAGACATCTTTCATGGTATATGGTGGACGGTTCTATGATGCTGTATTGTAGCATTATGTTAATTTTGGGGATTCTACAATGAGTACAATGTTCTAGATCGATAAGTATGTAGAGAAAGATAGAATTGCATTCTAATTACTCTGCTGCTAGCCGCTGTGATGATAACAAACCCTTTGCTCACTGGCGAATACATGGTCCTATAACAGATAACTACTTACTCATATTTCACCTGTTTAAAATCGCTTCTCAGACTTGTCAGTTCCCTGACACTGCCCACCAGCTGCCACCGCCAGCTTCTATCCGGCCGCCAAAACTCGACGCGGGAAACAGCTCAATCACTGCTAAATCAGTTCCAGGCTGATGCTTCAGTCAACTTATTTCTCGGTGGTGTTTGAAGATATCTCACATCTTTACCTGGAGGGAAGCTACCCAAAACCTCCTCACTCCTCCACCTTCTTCAACGCATCGTGATCAACCACGTTACTCTTTACATGCACGCGTCGAAACGCTCAAAAGGAGATAAACAATTGCAAAATATTTAGTCTCCAATGCTTTGATTATTTCCATCTTTTTCTTCTTCGAAATATCGTGTGCACTTGAAATCGCCGTTTTCGCGTTCAAGATTACCTACTTCTCCTCACCTGCCTCATCCTCATCGTCTTTTCTCTCTCTCTCATCATATCTCCAATTATTCGAAGCTTCATTTGTTCTTTCATGACATGCGTCCACGCTCTCATGCACTCACTCCGGTGAACGCTTCAATGATGAAACCTATATCCGAAAATGTAAGTTGTACACTGTCTCTCTTCTCTCCTGTCACAAGATTCCCCCAACATACTAACTTCAATCAATAGTCGCTGCCATACACTGAGAGCGACAATTCGGCCCGAGATGCGCGTCATGGGCGTAACACCACCGCTTCTACTGTTTCCTGTCACTCAAATCATTATGACAAGTCTATGATCGAAGATGGTGTTCAAATGCGCGACTTCTCTTCTCCCACTCCGAGCAAGTCTCGTGGTAAAAGCCTCGATCCAAACAGATTCGTCGCAGAACGTCCCTCTCGTCTCAATGCAAGTGTTTGCACGGGACTCACAGTCTCCAAGACCGACAATTTGTCTGTTGATGATCAAGCCACTTCGGAGTGGGAAACTGTCGCCGGAGACGATGCGCCTGAAACATACCCAGAAGCTTCAACCAAGTCACTGAGACGCCAGAGGAACCTTTTTGGTTACAACCCACAGAAAGAAAACATACAGACCAACCGCAACGCCTGGGCACCACAAACGGAGAGCTTTGAGCTTGTCTCACACTCTGGCCCGTCCGTGCGAGTGCACCCGAGATCTTCTCCTCGTTTGCAATCGTTTCACTCTTCATCCAGTTTCTACAGTGACCTGAGCAAGCAAAGTGAATTAGGCCGTGGCAAAGACGCGAACATCTACGAGAAATCTCCCATCCCTTGCGATCCCGAAGATTTCGCAACGGACAATCGTGCTCAGCAAGAAACCGAGAGCTACTCCCATGCCTCGTCCGATAGCCATGACGACCCTTTCAAGTATGACAGTGAAGTGTACTCGGGATTTCTCCGTCCATCGGCCGAGAGAGAAGTTAGTGATGCGCTGCACAAAGCCGGCCTAGCCGTCTCTTCAAAAGAGACCATCCCGCGATTCCCAGAGGGAAACAGTTCCAATGCTTCACAGAGAGGTGCCCCTGTTGCCTCCTTCTACCATGCTGGTGCTATTCGTTCGGCCTAGAATGTCGATGAAGAGGTTAAAGTTCCGGTTCATCGGGAGGGAGACCAAGACACGCGCCGTGTTCCAGTCCCCGATAGGCGACTGACCGGTGAAATTGCTACTCTCGACAAGAGCAGACCTCATACTGGTACCGAGGGCGATTGGCAGACTGTCACTAGCGAACAAGCTTTCAACTCTATGCAGCAGGAATACCTTGACAGCATCGTAAAAGGAACTGGGAGCAGTCTTGCTGATGTGTCTGATGTGACGGAGCGCGGCCCTCAACTTCGTACATACAGCTCTACAGACAGAATCATCCGTCACCCTTACGGCGACAACCCTTATGATTCGTACCACGTTCGTCGCGACAGAGGAAACAACCTCACCGTTTCTGTTCCACGCTATGGAGGTGGCCCAGGGACGTTTGCAAGCAACACAGCTCGAAATTTCGTCCAGCCCATGTCCAGATTGCCGGAATCAGCGGCTCGACTCTCCAATATCTTTCGCAGAGATCAAAATGAGCAGACAACTGATGGTCATGGTATCCTCCTCTCCGATCTGGATCCCAAAAGGGCAAGCTACCAGAGCCTCGACTCCGATGCAATTCCAAGCGGCAATGCCGCAGATTCAAACTTGCCCAATGACCAAAAGTTTTTCAGCTGGAATCGAATTCGCGAAACTCTTGGGCGAGAGCCACCCAAGACCCCTCTGACCATTCTCGATCAGCCACTGTATAGACATGGTATACAAGACTCTGACAATTCCCACAAACCGAAGCACATTCCTCACGATGATTTCCTCAAACAGCTTCCATCATTGCCTTTCCCTCTCGTCAGTCTTCCTGAAGCTCAAATGCTGCAGCGGTTCAAAAGACAGAGAGGTGAAGAGGATCACACCGAGAGTGCACGTAACTTCGCTGCCCGTGGAAGGCCAAACACTATCAGCACTGCTGCCTCGCCGGGACTCCCTGTTACTCCCCATCCTCCCAAGAGAACCTTCTGGGCCATCTCTCACCCGGGCGATATTGCACGGCCTGCACCGACTCATCAGCCCCAGGGACTGCGCCAGAGGTTCCGTCGCCGCGATTGTAAGTGAAGAGTGCCTTGATAGAGCCAATGCTAATTTGGTTACAGCGAGCGAGAGAATTTCCGAGATGCTCGTTTCGTCTTCCGCTATCCTCGACACTCCACCATCCACGAAGCCCAAGTCCAGCACTCATCGGGCGTGGTATCGAGGACTACAGCCGAGCTTTTCAACTCCTCGTACCGGACAGACCCAGCCTCGTGGGTTTTCCTCAAGCACAAGGTCCCGTCAAACCAGCAGATTCCAGCCAGACTTTGAACCTCTCGATGGAAGCCCCTTCACACTGGCCGAGACTCGCCTTATCGAAGAGGCCCGCGAGAACATGTTCTACCACCGTCAGCGAACTGACATGATCGCCGAACGAGGAAAGAGACTTTTCATCTGGATCATGATCCTGACTCTTTTCTTCCCGTTTATCGGCCCTGTCGTTCTCTACGGTAAACTCAACTCGACCATCTCGTGGTACACTCACGGGGAGATCCAGTGCCTCACCCAGGATCAGCGCGGAATCCTCAAGCAGCAACTTGTTGTTGAGGCTGTCTTGTACACTGCTCTCATCATTACACTTTCCGTCCACTACTCAATCTACAACTAGACTAATCCAACTCTCAGGCGCAAGGCGGTATTTTGAGGTTGATTTTGATGTAGTTTCAGAGAAAGCGGCTGCTGGACGAAGACTTTGCGAGGTGCAGAGAGATATATATTGGGATGGCTGGGCAATGTGACTTGGGCTCCTTACAGTTATGGCTGGCTTTTTGTCTTTCTTTTTGTCTTTTCTTGGTCTCCTCGGGGTGATCTATGCCTTTTCATATTCGTCACAAGCGTCAGGTATGCGCGAGAAAGGCCAAGTGGTCTATCGAGGTGTATATCTTAGTTGATTAATATCAATAGACTTGCTTTGGCTAAGAGCCAGCTAATGCCAGGTTGGGGAACTCCTTGGTGATAGTGCGCACCTTGAGGAAGGGTGCCTTGAGGGCCTTGATAGTGTCGCTTGTGTCCAAACCCATGCCAATGCGAAGGCGCTTCAGTTTGCCTGTCTGTCCACCGCAGTGCGCCGACAGCCATGTGTACTCATCAGGGTGGTAAAATACAGTGTTATTGTCAGAATCGTAGTGTCTATGTAGCCGCGAGACGATAAGATCAATCGATGTGAGCTTCAAGGGATCGCAGCAGTCGAGATAGGCTACTGTAAGATTTGATGGAGCGATGAGGCGGAGGGCGTTGGGAGTCACCGTCCTAGTCAGAAATTCATTGCGGTATTGGCGTAGCTAGAATACAAGCCCTTTGACGGATCCTTGATTTGGGTATACAAGTTCCAGGCTCAGAGATTTGAGGTTAGACATCTTTCTCAGGAGCCATAATAGCCATTGGCCAAGTCCTACATCCTCTTCAGGCCATTTCCAGTCTTCGCAATGTATTTTGGCAGTCCTAGTCCCGACAGTCAGCATGTATTCATTCAACCAAGACAAGGACTCACTTGATGGCTTTGAAATGTGGTAGGAGCCGGGGGCTTCTGTACCGGAGCCCGTGTAGAAAGGAGACAACCTTCTCCGAGATTTCGGCCATGTACAAATGATTGAGGTGAAACCCACTGAACAGGAAGTAAAAGTTCACACAGACAGAAATAAGTGACGTGAGGGTTGCATTGTCGCAATGACTACCGACCTCTTCATACAAGAAGCGCGGCAGATTCTTAAGCGTAGCCATGTTTACGGCATGAGCACATCATCTGCAATGGTGTTGAATGGGGATCAAGAGCTGTTGAGCAGAGTGTATTGAGGGGAAGAAATGTAAAGGGTCAAAGAAAGATGAGAAATGTGGAAGCGTAGAAAGGGGGAGGGCGGGTAATTTATAGTCAAAGAGTGGAGCTACCAGGCGGAAGCTCAAGGTCATGGCAGTGATTTACAGTCAATATTCACGACAATGATTCATAGTCGATATAATTTCTGAGATGGGATATGATCTAGTTCAGGACGTTTAGTCTAAGCGTTTGCAGGTTGAGACGAGAAGAGGGTTTGAGGGCTCAACCACCATGAAGGAAGTGCTTATTTGTAACTACTAAAGGATTTACAGGAAACATAACACCCTCATTAGAAATATTTGAACTTTCTAGAATCTATAAAGTGAAAATAGAAACAATGTTGAACAAGTAATTGTCTTGCTGGTCTTTACAGACTTGGGCCACATAGCAAGGTTGACATGTGCAGTAGATAATTAGGGTGTACTAAAAATTTAGGAGCTAAGCTTAGGTCATAAGAAACATAATGATTAAGATGATTGAGTCTAACATGACCAAGACAATTAATATCGAGTCTTGCTGCTACTCGGCTCTTATTTTTAACTGCCGGGTCGTCTTGGAGGATTGTTGATAAACCCGGTTTATATCCACACACTGACCCGCCCTTGGGTTTCAACCATTCATTCTTGTACTGTCTTGTTTCTGTTAATGTTACTGTTACAACCACGTTGAGATACTAACAGCAGAACAATTACACAGGCAACCTGGCCTCACTGTATATTAGGCAATCAATTAGTATTTACCTGGAGAGAGGCTGCACAAGCTTTGCCAAGCCTTCGCTTCCCTTCTCGTCTCCCCACAGTCCACACTTTACTTTGGATCGACCGATCAATCAATCAACAAACTTGACTTGCGCTGCTACTGGTATTGCTCCGCTTTGCTCAGTTCATCTCCATCTCTTCCTCTATCGCTTCCACCAAGACTAAGCCCAATGACTTTGAGCCCGCAATCTTCGCGTCGCTGGGACGAGCTCCCTCACGAGATCCTCCTCCAAATCTTGTGCTGTGAGTTGCAACTTCATCTAGCCCCAGCTTATCCCTCAACCCATATCCTTCCATACCCCGCTATCACCATACAGCAGTCTCATGCAATAAAATTCTGGGCAAATATCATGACCATAAACTAATACAATACTATTCAGACCTTGAACCGCATCAATTGCCCAGACTGCAACTTGTATCACGGAAACTCAGAGACGTCTGTCTTGATGATGAACTCTGGAAGCGCCACTGTTTTGAGCGCTCACCATGGTACTCATTTCTTCAGAATCGTAGAAAAGTTTTTGCTTCTCTGCCTGACTCATCATTGAGCAAGACCAGTCAAGATGACGAGGATGCCGGCTCTCTACTGGAATTTGATGAATCGTCTCGGAAAGATAAAGATCATTTTGAGTTCCTTCAAGACATGGCCAACTGGGATCCTGCGTTTCCTGACGAGCACGTCTCGTGGTATGACGAGTATATTCAACGTCAGGGACCAACATCCATCAATTGGCTCGAAACGCCTCGTGCAGAACAGAGCGCGATGGATCATTTCATTGAAGTCAGAGGAATGGCTCTCTACAGACCCAACAACGGTGACGATGGCCTCGGTAGTTTGTTAGCCGTTTCACCGCTCGACGACGGATCTGTATGTTTATGGGATATCAACGGCGCTAGAAGCAGGAGGGGAGGTATAATTGCAACGAGTCAGCCGGATATCCTCTTCTTTGACGGCCGCGGAGATCAAAACACAAGGCGGTCCAAAAAGATCGACACTGGTGTCACCGAGTGTGTTAGTGTCGACAACACCAACAATAGGGCTGTCTTTGCCGTACAGAGTCGTAAGCTCTCAAAAGCTATCTCCTTTCTCTTGACCCCACTAACTAAAACGTGCTAGATCTCATAGAAGTCGATCTCAATCGACTACAGGTCGTCAATAGACACTCTTTCGAATGGTCCATCACAACCTTGTCACAGATCCAGGATGGGATCCCCTTGACAGTCGGCACTTCACTAGGCATTCATCTTCAAGACTTTCGCGCGCCTCAATACCACCACGGCAATGACGTGGAGAGGCTAGATATAGATAGCCCTATGACAGATGGAGATAACCCCTTCAGGGCCATCTTTGACCCGAACCCGTTACCGCCGTACGCCTCATTGTCTCAGCCTACGCCAACCAGTATTCTTCATCTGCCCCGTCCAGCTGGCGATAACACAGTATCGGACGATATCTACGTGGCGGGCAGGTTTTCCAATATTCTTCATTATGATAGGAGGCAGTTTCCCAAGATCTTGGGTTCCATCTACTCCGGGTCGCGACTTTCCAGTCTGGCAGCGCTGCCCTATCCGTTTTCCACGCTGGATCACGAAGTACGGCGTCGCGGAGAGCTTTCAGCTGAGAGAGTTCATGAGTGTAAGACATCGGGCAATGGTCGAACTTTGATAGCGGGCGGAGAGTACAAGACCAAGGGCTCGCTAGAGTTATACGGCCTCGATACAGTGGACCTGTCAAGCGACGGGGCGATGCAGCAAAACTCAACAATGAAGAACCGCTACACGGCGGCTTCTTCCATCATCTTGTCAGTCATCGACCACGGCACAAAGGTGGCCTTTTCAGACGGTGCAGGACAGATCAAGTGGTTTGAAAGAGACGGATACACAGAATGTCGTCGAATTAAGATCGGCCACAGTGACGTCCCCACCCAAGCATCACTCTTCGCCTCGATGCCAGGGTCCGACGATCTCGCACGCAAGATCTTATCCACCAAGACGGCACAGGACCGGCCCAACGAGGACAACGTGCTCTTCTGGACGGGCGACAAGCTCGGCATGGTCAGTTTCACAGGGGATACACTATTTACTCCCGAGCAGCTACAGGGCGACAAGAATCACGGGACCAAGGAAGCGGCGGCGGATGAACAGAAGCGACAGGTGTACTCCCAGAGGATGCGAGAGGCACTCGAGAAGCAGGCTGACGAGGCTCGGTTTGTACAAGGACTTGGATTGTAGTGAAAGGAAGGGGGTGATGATGATTGGGTATGAGAAGAGCATTAAGAAAAGGCGTCCGGTTGGTGGCATTGCAGAATTTGGAGAGGATCTGTTGGACCAGACTACATACGAACTTTACACGACTAGATGAAGATCTGTAACGTTGGCAGAAATAACAATAATAATAGTGGCATTTAGGGGAACACGACCATAAGATTTGAGACCTAAGTTTGGCGTACAAAAAATAGCTCGTACATACATACACCAATATAGTAGCATTCATTCATTACCCGTCACGGGATAAGGTGATCGTCGGTGGGGAAAGGGTATTTTCTTGTCTGGTATATCTCCGATGCTACAGTAAAGATGAGGCGCGTGGCAAAAAAATTGGCGTGTGAATGCCACGCAGGAACAAGCATCAAGCTTGTAATATTAATTAGAAAGGGGGGCCTTTGAAGTAAATATGCGGGAGGTTGTACGAATAACAGGAACAAGAGTCGGTCAATGCAAGGCATGTAGCTGTCAACAGCGATGAATAGGCAATCTACTTGGTAGCAGAAAAAAAAGCCCCCAAGTCTTAGGGTATAAAAATAAGTAGTCTAAGAACTATATCCTAAGAAGCATAAAGTGACCTACTAATTTCGTCCCCTATGCCTCAGGCGGCCAACTTTTCTGATACCCCGAGGGCAATGTGACGACGGACAAGATTACTTGCTTTTTCCTAGATCTTCATGACATGAATTCAACATGGTCCAAGCTGCTTTTAACAAGAGATCGAAGGCCAATGTGGGTGGGAAGTGAAGTGGAGTGAGAGCACGATCCAAGTCCAAGAGCTAGATAGTAACTACAGGTGAGGCTACTAGGAGCATACAACTCGTGATGCTTCAAAGCTCAGCTGTGTGTGGCTCATCCCTTGTTTATCAAACTTCAATAAACAAATACCATCCATGCCATGCTATGTCATAGCCAAGCTGTCAATCCAATTCATTGACGACAGCGGCTTGATTAATCCCTTGAAAGTCCGTGCTCCAAGAAGGGTTGAACACTAGGAATGAATGTCTCACTGCAGATAATCAATCATCAGCCGGCGGCTCTATTCTTCACGAATCAAGACCCGAATATCCGTAATCTTTTTTCCATTTCAGAACAAGGGACTCATCAAGGACCACAAGGACCCTGTCCTGGGGGCTATGATTATGATGATGGTCCCTCCGTAAGAACCTCAGAAATCCAGGGCGGCCAATAGCGAACAGGGATGTTGGACCCCTGGCCAATGGTGACGATCAAGATGAGTGGAATAAAGAAAGGTCCACGAGAGATATTTGGCTATTTGACATAGTTAGAAGGCCTCATTTTTTAATGTTTTTTTAATGCCGCGGCATTTGATTGATTAGACACGTATGAAAGACCAAGATTTGTCTTCAGCAGAGTAGTAGTAGCAACCCTGACAATGGCTTTTTCTTTACCGAGTAACAGGCATTGTTAATATCTATATCCATATCGGTAAGACGCATGACACTTTTAGAACCAAAGGATATCCCAGCTGCGGAGCATGCTCTTGTTGATACGCGGTACAGACCGGGCAGGCCTTGACGAGAGGTGGAGATGGAATCATGGTGCGCTGTCAAGGTTTGGCCAGGTCAAGTCATGTCAGAGGTGTTTTACATTAGTCCGCCTTGTAAAAGGAAACGCTTCAGCCAGTTGGTCTCCATATGCCGTGGAGACTCTTTATGCCAAGAGACAGAAGCCTCATGTTTGTTGTAGGCTATGAATATGTAATTGACAATTGTAGATCAACTGTACGCAAAGTCAATCATTACCTACAACTAATTTGCTGTAGATAATGTAAACCCTAATGACACAAGAGGGTTTCAGTCAAGGGCCTTGTTTCGACTTGGTACGTTTAGTTTATGCTGTCTTACTCTGTACCTGGCCTTGCTTGGCTTGTGAGAGGCATACATTCCTTTTTATAGACAAGTACATACAACGGGCGATATGCTGTCCGACTCACAAGGGTTTGACCTGACCTGATCAGACCAGACCAGGGGGGTTCCAAGTCTCATCTGGTTAGACTACGGGCTGTCAAGAGTCCAAATATCGGCGATGAGAAGACCAGAAAAAGAATCCAATTCACCGCTATATCTACAAGGACCAAGTTCAGCCATGCCAGTTAAGGACTGGCGACGGCTGCAATCAATTAATCAAGCAGGGTTTAATTCTTTAACTTCCGGTAACTTGCGATACCGTCGGTAGACTATCACAGTAACTGACAAAACGGTACATACAATACAATCACAAGTGAGGCGATTAATTGATTGAACATCAACACAAAAGAAACCCACAGAATATTGCCATCCCATACATACTTGCTTAGGTACATTACAGATTGTCGTGTCATCCATTCAGCGCCTCACAACCGCCAGAGACAAGGATTCCCCAGCGCATCAGACAGGGGTGTCACTGCCAGCTGCAGGCTTAGGCTTAGTCTTAGGCTTGGGCCAGGTTAGGCGGGTTACCCACCTAGGTTAGTGGACGCGGCCAACGATGGACTACCCTCCAAGACTATCCGATCGCCCTGAAAACAAGATACCTACTCACTGATTCTCTCACTGATTCATTCTTCCTTCCATCTGCTACTGAAAACAAGTCCATCGAAACTTACGGTCAAGGTTATATCCTAGTTTTATTACCTAGTCCAACTAGCCTACGTTTTCTCGATATTGCCTACCTACTCTATCTAGATCTCTTTTTCACTTTTCTTTCCTTCCTTCCATTTCTGTTTCTGGTCTGTTTTATATTTGCACATCTTTCTGTCCTTTCTCCAGTCTTTTGGGTCCAATTTCCACCATTCTCCGGGTCTCGTCTCCTCATCAACTTGCATTTGCAGCCAACATCACGCGTCCCCCATCGTCAAATCCGCCACCCGGCCATCGGACTCACCGACTACCCTCAACCACCAAACTCCTTCTCTTTTCTTTACATATCATTATCAATCAATTCAGTTCAAGAGAGGATCGAGACTCTAGCAAGGGATTGAACATTACAACATCTAATCTACACACCACTACAAGCACAGCAATCACAGCAGATCAGATTCAGTAAACCCCTATGTGACGCTGACCCGTCTCTTCTCTCTTCTCCTCAGCATTATCGTCATCGTATCAAGCGACCAATTTCTCAACAAATTTAAAACCCCTGGCTCGAAATGTCCCATGGCCTTTTGGGTGGTTGACGGGGGTCGTCCGCTTGGACTTGGTACTACCACTGCCACTGCCGCTGCCGCTATCAACACAAGCCGGGGTCCATACTATGTGGGCGGTAAACGGAGAGTAAGCGTCTCCGAAGGCGGCGACGCATACTCGTATGCTCCCAGCCATGGCGATGCCTTCACGTTCGACCCAAAGAGATCCAGGTTCACCGATGAGCTTCCTTACGACGCATACGAAAACACACCAATGACCATTCCTGGACCCAGTGGTTATTCATCCCCACAACCGCATGACCATTTCTCATATTATCACCAACAGCCGCAGCAACCGACATTCCAACCTAGAATCCATCATGTCAACAAATCCGCCTACCCATACAATCACCCCTGCAACTCTCCCACAGAAGATGAATTTCTCTACCACGACGACATCGGTTCTTCCACTCCCCCATTAATTCATCGTCCCGACTCAGCACCTGTCAAGAATCTTTCTTTTCTCGTAATTCGTGAACGGTCTCCAACCCCAGAGGGTTTCCCCTCTATCGATGCTAGTTTCGATCTTGGCGCCTTCGGTCCAGCACCCGAATCTCGGCCGGCTCCGTCTTTCGGGCCCCCCGGACCTCCACCGGCTCCCGCATCCGCCCCAGCACCAGCTCCTGTCGCCGATGCCTGCGCTATGGAACGTACAGCCTCCGGCCTATCCATTTCATCCGACACTACTCAACCCTCATTTGCCAGTTTGTCTCCTCTCAACGACGACAACGAGCCGGGATTTCTGAGTGATCTCGCTGCCGCACGATTAGTCCGTGATCATGTCGCCAACTCTGGCTTTTCCAGTTCTAATCGTCGAAGACACCGCGGCGTTGACTCTCGCCATGGCCGTATCTTAAGAACTCTCATTAACCCCAAATCCCGCGCTGCCGACTTTCCCCTCGATGACAATGCTCTACGCAGCATTTTCTCGGCCGCCAATGAACTCTTTTTCGGCAATCGACTTGCCGGTCGTGTCGCGTGGGACTGGAGTCACCCCGCGAGCGCCCAGTACCAGGCGCACATTGTTGGTACCACCGCCGTGCGACGTTCCCGCGATGTCGGCTATGAGACCCTCATCGTGCTGTCGTCACCCATTCTCCAAGACACAAAATACAACCGTCGTCTGCTAATATCGACGTTCCTCCACGAGATGATTCACAGTTACCTCTTTGTAGTATGTGGTCTGAAAGCCCGCTATCAAGGTGGCCACACCGAGGGATTTCGTCAGATCGCCGACACCATCGATCGCTGGGTCGGGCACAGCTATTTGCGTCTCAGTGAAATGGACGCTGACCTGGAACACTTCCGTCAGCACCCGTCATGTGGGCACGAGCAGCATCAGGTGCGTAGCCGAAGCGCAGACGGGCAGGAGAGGGTACCCTGGCGCAGCGAGAGGTGGGAGGATGGAGAACGAGAAAGAAGCGTCATCTATCCGACTGAGCTTCATCCACGACCGCATCCCAGCTACGAAAACAGGGACCGACATGGGCGGGAGGGTCACAGAGCCCTTCATGTCCGGAGAGGAATCTCACCATACGTTTACTGAGCGTGGAAGTGACCCTCAAAGGTCGCCCATGCCTTATCCGCTATTATACAGGCACATTGGCTCACTAAGAGCCAATCCCTGATACATGTCATGACAAGAGTGACATACTATCTTCAATCACCATTTCATCTGGCATACATCAAAACTTCATTTTCTTTCCACTGTCAAAAACTTATCTATCTAGCAGGGTGGTCTTGCTTCGTCTTTGTATTTATATGATTCCCCCCTTTTCTTCCTCATTCCAATAGCGCGGCAGACTTTACTTTGAAAAATCCTTTGGGCATGGGAGGGGCGTTTTTGACATTCACAAGGAACGAAAGCATATTATAGGCAAGGATTCTATCCTTTTAGGAAATAACGTCAGGCGGTAGCACCGGCGCTGTGAGGGTCACTCTTTTTTTATTGCTCTATGCTATGGAAAAATATTACTAAATTATACCAAATGCTACTTTCACTCCTTTTCTGTTTGGGAAGAGGCACAGATTGGAAGCACAAGATGTGGCATTACTGTCAGTTATCACATACTACAATGCGTAGCAATTTAGGCTACACAGCGTGACTGGGTAAAATTATCATAAGCTATTATAGACCAAGATGCAGTTACCTAATTCCGAGGGAGAGTGATTACAAGCTGTGCAGCTCCAAAATCGCCAGCGTCCATAGTACATGAACAAATTAGCAACAATCACGGACCGGGACTTAATCATCACCATTGCACTTACAGTCTTAGTATACTATCGTCCTCACAACAGTCTTTAAGTCAGTCCACCTTGATCTAAACCTACAAGGAAAATCGGTACCGTCTCAATGAAACTTTACAAGATTGTAATTGTAAATTACACATATTTACTGTAGAGTGTCAAGTCCAAACTTTTTATTACTAGCCGCTATTATAGTTGTCATATGCAATGCAAACATTATCATTGTCCTCATCATGACTTGGCGCCAGCAATGTATAAAATGCTTAATGCATCTTGCTTCTCGTATATCCATCCCCCTTTTCGTTCAAGGCAAATACAATTTTCGGCAAGCTTTTAAGTAAAATGTAAAAAACCAAACCAGACATCAAACAACATTTTACCTGAATCGTCTAGTTGAGATATACTATATCTTTTCGTTTCTATGATGAATGGCCGAGGGTCAGGATGGCTCTCTGAACTCGCCATGTCTCAATTTCGTCTTCCCTGAATGGTTCCGTAACTTTGCTGTTCGGGTCTTGACTTGTTCAAGGGTTGCTCGTCGTCCTCAGAGTCCGAAACAGCCGCCGAGTCCCCAGGCAATAACAGCGTGCTAGACGAAGACGAAACCTCATTGTCCTCCGCATCAGTGCTCTCTGCTGAAGTTGATACGGAAGCAGTTGGACCGGCTCCCTCTTTGGCGAGATATGCCGGGATAGCGCCTAGAATGGCGACAAACATGAGGAAGAACCACGCCGTGACGACATATCCGTGTTCAGCGCCCCAAGTGAAGAGAGCTCCAGCAGAGGCGGGACCGGCAGCGCGGCCAAGTCCACTAAATGTCGTCGCATAGCCATTAAGTGTACCTAGCACGCGGAGGGAACTACACGAGTTCGTGAGAAGAATGGTGGTGGATGGGAAGGCCACTATGATTCCAGCAGCCTTGATGAACATGACTAAGATGAGAGCTGTTGTTCGGGCATTGTGTGTAGGGAACAGGACACAGTAAGGGGTGAGGAAGTAAGCGATGGGCATAAGGACACCTATAGTACATTAGCAAGGCACATCATCAATGCAAAAGGCGATGGCTTACAACAGAATCTGAAGCATCGCACAACTCCAAAACGAGCAACGATTGTAGGATACAGCAGGAACTGGATGCTACCACAAACAACACCATACACCGTGTAAATAAGGCCGACTTGGCTATGCGACATGCCAAATCCTCCAGAAAAGTAGAAGGGTAATGCCGTGTTCTCGGGCGTGTGCTGTTCGACCGGATGTCTGAGGAAGACACTGAGGATCTGATCATAGGCGACGGAGTGGAAAGCCAAAAACGTGTATGCCAAAAGGTTTATAGTTGTTTCACGAGTGAGAACGCGCTCTTTCCTGGCTGGCTCTTGACCTTGCGTCTTGGGCGCTGTCTTGTTGGGAAGAAGAGGTGAAGTGGCCTCGCCGTCTACGAAGGAAGGGCGACGGGTAGAGGGGGTTGGACAAGTGTTTTTGAAGGAGTTGGTGATACGCTTGCCAACCAGGATACCCCAATCCCGATGTCCTCTTTTGCTGGGGAGTGTTTCCTGGACAGTATTAGGAGCGGTGTATAGCAAGTGCATAGTTCAGACTCACGTGAAGAAACAGGACTGCAACAGTAACGGAGGTGAGAAAGAAGATGGTCAAGATCAAGTTGGGAAGAAGAAACGGGAAACGCTTGAAGAGTCCAAGGTGACCAAAAATCTCAGGATATTGCTCGGCGGGCTCGGCAAAGAATCCTCCAAAGCTAGGGCCGATGATAGAGCCCAGACTCCATACTATGGGCATGATGGAGAAGGCACGAGGCTGAAGTTCTCGTTCGGGGACCATCTCAGCAACCATTGTTCGAATAATTCCAACTAGGTAATAACTGTTAGTGAAAGGAGACTTTCAAACGTGCAGGGTGTGGTTCAACGCACCATTTCCGTTTCCACCTCCTTGAATAGCTCGGACAGCAATAGCCATGGGCAAACTAGTCGACATGCCCCATATTATAAAGCAGACCATGGTCGTCAGAAGGCCCAGGATAATGGTAGGTTTTCTTCCGTAGGTATCAGACGCCTTCCCCCATGCGACAGCTGTGATGCTTTGTGAGATAGAAAAGACACCCGATGTGACGCCCACCCAGCTTCCGACTTTATTCGTTGGAACGCCGAAGCTCCTAACCATGGCTGGGAGGTATGGGAAGACTGATGTGTAGGCCATAGGCTCGGCGATTCTGGCAATGGCTGTTGGAAAGTTAGTGAGATCTTGGTAAGATGTTTGAGGATACCTGGAGAAGATTGGACCATGTTGACTATAGATTCATGTTATAGTATCTCTGTACTTGATGAGAAGTTGTTTCTATCGATAACATCTATACGGGAGCACACTGGAACAGAAGAGAAGGAATCTACTGGCATTGTATTGATTTGAGTATCGTCTCATCCATCTCAACTTTGCGTGTATATGATGTGTGATGCGATCAAAGCACGGCCCAAGAACTTTTGACAAGGGTATTGAAAACCTTTTACAGGTATTGACAGAACGAAGGAAAGTTGTCGATTTTCAACTTACCCAGAATCGCCAGCTGTTGCTTTGGCAGCTTAGGGCCATCTTTTGTCGTCATTGTGAAAGATGATGGCGTCAAGGGAGCGAGGGAGAAACGGAGGAAGCCTTGGAACTAAGCAATTCTCTTCTTTTTGTTCTAACAATGCGTAGTACGCTAAGCGATGGGCGATGGTTAATCTGGCCAGGGAATAGACAATGGATATAGGCGATCGAACTTGTCAATCAACCTTTTCCCGGCTCTTACACCAGAGAAGATAGGAGGTAGAGAAAGAAGAAGAGATGTTATTAGTAGAAAAAAGAGAAAGAGAGAGAGAGCCTGACGAAAAGGCGAAGTACAAGAGCCAAGCCCACTGGGGAAGCTATGGGTCACTATTACCAAATCAGGCTTGGTCTCTTTTTCCCGCCCAAAGCCGTGCAGGAAAGGGCGAACATTTGCAGGGGTCTTGTTAGACATGCAGAATATTGCGGTCAAGAAAGGCCGATAATTGGAAGAGAGTGTGATTGTGATTCGCTGGTTTTGGCCGATGGCTGCAGGAGCCACGGTGAAGAATTGGGGTGTCACAAGAGCAACTTCAGCTGGCTAAGCCCGGCTATGACAGTATTGTACAGTATCGTAGAGAGAGTTCCGTTCATTGTTGTTTCTGTGAGACAACGGCGGATTACATGACGTACAATATGTATAGCGTTCCGATGATGTACTCAAGTTCTTAGTAGTTCACAGTTGTACCTACTAACGTACTGATTTTAGCTGAGTAATAAGGCGGGCAAGTCGTTCAGTCATGGTTGCAACCATCAAAACGATGACAGAAAAGCTGGCCGTGGAGTTCTAGGATACAAAAAATAAATAGTCTAAGAACGTAGGTTGATATATCATAAGCCATTCCACTAATTTCGTCTCTCATGCTCGCCACTAGTCTTGTCTTTTGACTACTATCTAGAGAGAGTCTGGGGTCATCACCCCGAGAGCGGAGCTTAGTCCTCTGCACCTGCAAGCCACCAGATGTGTAGTTCCCCGCTTGTCTCCGCCTTATTGCCGATTCGAGTAATAAATTAGTCGGCGTCTAATGCGGAGTGCAGTTGGTGTAGTTGCTGCATAATCTACGATGGTATAAGTGTAGTGGTTGTATTTAATACGATAGACAATTATCGTGTCAGTAAAGGCAACAAGTAGTACCCAGCTATGCCTAGTACATGCTTAATAACCGTTATATACACGCACTGCCTCAGTTGTAGATGCACCTACTAGCAATAACTTACATCATCCCAAGTTTGTGGAAGTTTGAACTAGAAGTGGCTGGTGGTTAGTAACCTTTTATAAGTAGTGATCTCAAGGCCTAAGCTTAGGGCATCAAAACAAAGATAAGAGCCTCCCTCTGGTTCAAGATACTATCATAAGCTGCACAAAATTATTCACTCTTTTATGCCATCCCGAGGCATGTCAAACGTTGTGGATCCCGAGTACACCGTGACTGTGATTGGCCAATGAGCTCCGTTGTCCTGTAACGTCATCACCCGTTGTATCACGTCTTTCTCTCGTTATCTTCCTTCTATCAACATCATCAATATCAAATATCATTATCCAGGCTCCAACGCATGTCAACAATCTGAATAGTCCCAGGAGTAACATCTTCTAGGACATCCACCACTATGAGTCGGTTGTGAGTTGAACATCTACCTAAACGACCCGCCAAGACCTTTATCCCTCCACTTCCCGGACAACATTGATCATCAGGACCGGACCCAAGACCAAGACTTATGCTAAGACTCTATCCAGTAGCTCTTCTCATCAAGAGAAAGATAAAATGCCAACCGAAAGCACTCCTCTCATACAGACTGTTCGGGTCGGCCCTCCTCGGCGGAGGTACCCTCACCAAATCTGGCGTCGCTTCTTTACTCTGATTTGCTCTGTCGTGGTTATTGGCGGGTTTGGCTTGTTCGTTATCCAAACTCTCTTGATTGGACCTCACCATCATCATGGTCATCCTGGCTCTTGGTTACCTGGCAAAAGTCATTTGAGTTACGAAGAGTTGGAACGTATCCTATTTGATACCCCAGACCCGAAAAAGGCCGAGGAATGGAGCCGTTATTATACTTCTGGCCCCCATCTGGCTGGCAAGAACCTCTCACAGGTTGGCAATCACCCACTTACTATCTGTACAAACACTGACCAATTTTCTCTCTAGGCTGAGTGGACAAGGGACCGTTGGGAGGAGTTCGGAGTTGAATCCAGCATCGTGGCATATGATGCCTATCTCAACTACCCTGTTGACGCCAGTGTTTCCATCTTGGAAAAGTCAAAGAACGGAAAAGGCTGGAACACCACATTCAAGGCCTCTCTTGAAGAGGACATCATCGAAGAGGACCCAACAACCTCTTACGAAAACCGCGTTCCCATCTTCCATGGCTACTCGGCCAGCGGAAACGTCACTGCCTCCTTCGTCTATGTCAACTATGGAACTTACCAGGACTACGAGGAGCTCGTCAATGCCAAGGTTGACGTCAAGGGGAAGATTGCCATTGCCAGATACGGTGGAATCTTCAGAGGCCTCAAGATCAAACGCGCACAGGAGCTTGGCTTTGTTGGGGTCCTCATCTACAGCGATCCCGGCGATGATGGTGAGAGGACCGAAGAGCATGGATATAAGCCTTACCCTGAGGGACCTGCGCGTAACCCTAGTGCTGTTCAGCGCGGAAGTGCAGAATTTTTGAGCATCCGTCCTGGTGATCCGTATGTAAAATCTACTCTGAATCAAGGACCTGCTAACCTTTTAGATCCACTCCTGGATATCCTTCCAAGCCTGATGCTCCTCGTGTCCCAGTCGATGACGCCACTGCGTCTATCCCTTCAATCCCCATCTCATACCGGGATGCTCTTCCCATCCTCAAGGCTCTCAACGGCCATGGTCCAAAGTCATCAGACTTCAACAAGTACTGGAACAAGAACCTCGGCTTGAAATACAAGGGCATTGAGTACAACATTGGTCCTACGCCAGATGACGTTGTTGTCAACCTTTACAACGAGCAAAAGTATGTCACCACGCCCATTTGGGATGTTATCGGAATTGTCAATGGTACCATCCCCAACGAAGTCATTGTTGTTGGAAACCATCGGGATGCTTGGATTGTCGGCGGAGCTGGTGATCCCAACAGTGGCTCTGCTGTTCTCAACGAAGTCATTCGCGGAGTTGGAAAGGCTATTGAGGCAGGCTGGAAGCCTCTTCGAACTATTGTCTTTGCGAGCTGGGACGGCGAGGAGTACTCTCTTATTGGCAGCACCGAGTGGGTTGAGGAGTATCTTCCATGGCTCTCAGAGGCTAACGTTGCCTACGTCAACGTTGACGTCGGTGTTGATGGTCCCGAGTTCACCGCATCTGCAGCTCCTCTCCTCAACCAAATCATCCGCGATGTCACAAACGCTGTTCCCTCGGCCAACCAGACCGTTCCTGGCCAGACTGTCAACGATCTCTGGTCTGGAAGAATTGCTACTATGGGTAGTGGTAGTGACTTCACAGCTTTCCAGGACTTTGCGGGTATTCCTTGCATCGACTTCGGTTTTAAGTACAACGGTAATAGTGCCGTCTATCATTACCATAGCAACTACGATAGCTTCTATTGGATGAAGGAGTACGGTGATGTGGGATTCAAGTACCACCGAACCATGGCTCAAATCCTAGGTCTCACCATTGCCAAGCTCGCCGGCACTGTCATCATTCCTTTCAGCGCTACAGAGTATGCCGATGCTTTGAACGGCTACCTTGATGAGGTTGAGGCCAAGTTCGAGCCTGCTGCCGAAGTCATGAGCGACGATAAAATCTTTAGTATGCGCGGTACTGTCTTGTCAGACAAGCCCATCGGAAGCGAACACGAGTTTAAGAAGAGTCTCGACCACACTCGTCAGCAGCTTGGGCACTTTCACCTTAAAGCTAGTGAGCTCGATGCTGAAGCTGAAATTGCCAACCGCAAACTCGAAAAGGGTCTTCCATGGTGGAACATTATCGGGAAAATCCGTCTCGGCTACACTATTGAGAGGATCAACAAGAGATATAAGTTCCTCGAGCGCAACTTCCTCTACGAAGGTGGCTTAGATGGCCGAGATTGGTTCAAGCACGTAGTTTTTGCGCCTGGTATTTGGACCGGTTACTCCGGAGGTAAGTAACTTGTTTGAGCAAATTCGATTCACATGCTGACAAAGTCATAGCTGTTTTCCCCGGCTGGGACGAGAGTATCGATGCGAAGGATTACACAAACGGACTTAAGTGGTCTGCTATCATTGTACGATGTATCAACAAGGCTATCGATAGCCTCTCGGGTTAGGGAGTCTCCAGGGTATTAGAAAAATTGGCTGCTAGGAGCATAAGAGACGAAATCAGTAGGTCAGTTTATGACATTTAGATCAAACTTATTAGGCTATTTATTTTTATACCCTAAAGCTTAGGGTACTAGTCTTCTGTTACACACGATTTAGGTTGCCGACTCTGTTTGGGAATGTATGCTTATAATCTCAGGCTAGTATATAAGACGAAAAATGAGCGATTATCTCCCCTCGTATAAGCACTCGATTATGGATATATGTTCTCAGTAGATCTTTACTAAAGGTTTACTAAAAATTGATTGGTGATCGCCATTATCGCTCATGAATCTGGTAGATAGATTGACCTGGTATCAATTCAAGACGGCACACCCGTCATCTAAGTCGCTTCTCTAAGCTAGAGTCTTACACTAACAGTAATCTTTGTCGCCAACATTCAAATCTATCATTAAATTCACACATGTCTTTGTTTAAAACTTGTAAACCTGGTCTTCCTTGTAGCCAAGCTCCTTGAGAGCACCGGTCAGCTCACCCTGGTTCTTGGGGCTGACCTTGTTTCCGGAGATGGCATTCATGAGACCGGGGGGGCCGCAGACGAAAAGCTTGATATTCTCGTTCTTGGGCTCAGGAAGGACAGTCTTGAGAAGGTCCTTGGTGATGAAGCCGCTGCCGCCGACCCAGCCCTTGGGGGGGTTGTCTAGGACGTAGAAGGCTCGGAAGCGCTGGGGGTAGGTGTTCTCCAGCTCCTCAAACTCCTTCTTGAGGAGGATGTCCTTCTCGCTGACATTACCAAAGACAAGAGTGACCTTGGTCTTGTCCTTGGGGTTGTTGAAGATGGCGCGGGCGAGCTGGTACATGGGGGTAATACCAGTGCCGCCAGCAATGAGGGCGATGTGGTCGTGCTTGTTCTCCTCCCAGGCGTACTTGGGGAGAGGGCCTTTGAGGTCAAGGCGCTGGCCAGGAGCCATGTCGTGCAAGTGTGTGCTCATGGGACCGTTGGGGTACTTCTTGATAAGCAAGTCGAGGAAGCCCTTGTCGTCTGTACAGCAGTTAGTGTGCGCTCATACACAAAAAGTCGCTTTACATACTCTCATCGCTGATGGGGGTGTAAGGTCGGAGAGTAGCCTTCTCATCATTGGGGCCCTTGTACTTTGTGAGAAGAGCACTGGCAATGTGCAGACCAGAGACCTGGTCAGCTTCAGGGAGCTCGAAACGCAGGCGCTTAGTGTTGTGGTTGACAATCTCGACATCAGATAGCTTGAGTGAGACCCAGCCCTGATCACCACCAGTGAAGGCCTTCTTGGGCTCGGCACCAACAGCCTGCTTCACATCCTGGGCAGCGGCAGAAACGGGAGCTCCGCTCTTACCAAAGTACCAGTAACCAGCACCACCAAGGACAGCAGCTCCAGTAGCATAGAGGAGGGCATTGGAACCGCCAGCGCCTCCAGCCTCAGTGGCATATCGACGAACAGACTGAAAACGAACTCAATTAGCTTCTGCTGTGGTCTAATAAAAGAAACATTCGATTGATAATCCAAAATCATCACGGTAGAGGGGTCCAGATGCGACATGCGCGGGGGAGAACCATACCCTCAAAGGCTGAGCAGCGCGGAATGCAGATCGGGCGAACATCTTGACGGTATTGCGGTACTCTTTAAAGGTCAATTGATAAGTCAATTGGCTAGAAACAAAAGAGCAAAAAGAGTTGTTGACGTTGCTCAAAGTTAGAGAAGTGGGTGTATTGAGGTACCTTAGTTCCGAAATCGCGACGGTTGGAGATGACGTTATGAGTCACGTGATATCCCGAGCACGTAATTGAAGCGGGAAGGTACAAAGCAACCAGTCTTCCTTTCTGTCTTTAGCGAAACATCAATGGAGACGATCTAAGCGATTGAGTTTGTCATGCCAAGAGCTTCTGGTTGACTTTTGTCGTGACCAGGTGTGCTATTAGTTAGTACCTTGGTAGCTGCTAGGTACAGGTGTCTTATGTATCGACTTCGAGACTCGCTAAGATGTAGTAGAAAACTTAGGCCTAAGCTTGTCCTAAATATGATATATAAACTAAAGTATTTCATCTCTTATGATATCACTAGCCAAGGCTACTACTCCGAGAGCTTGGAACGTGTATGTCTACTACGTACTTGTGGTCTGATGAAACAAGTACAAGCAATAGCTTGGAGTGGCTCTGTATGATTCATAATATCTTGTTACCTTCGACAGTTTTAGTGGTACAGTATTCGATCTCAGTGGTATACATCTCTTCAACACGGCACCTGCCTCTATCCGCTGAACAACCCCAGCCTGTTGCTTCAACAGACTCAACTTATCCACATTAATACCTCTTCTCCGTTATGAGTATCACGACCTTCCAATAGATCTTTTCTCGCCAATCGCTGTCAAAAAACTGAGGTGTCAATATCCAGTAACGTACGGGATGCATACTTCTAGAATCACCTGCTATACATCCATCTTAAAGTTCGCTGTGGTATTATTGGTATATGTGCCCGCTCCGTCGGAATACATCGAATCGTGAGCGTCTCTTCAAGCATGGCATGCAATTCGTTATTATTCAATCCTCGGTATCACCTCTCGACTTCTTTCACTTCTTTCACTTCTTCACCGGCGACCGGCTCTCCCAACTCCATCGGCGGCTTCTCCTGCACCGGCGTGACGTTCGAGTCCCTTCTCGTCCCAGCATCGTGGCTCTCCCTCCTCAGAATACCAGTATCTTGAGACTGCGCGATTGTCGGCGTGTTTGCTTGACTTCCCCCTCGTTGCCCATGATAGTGGACGACCTGCGGGGGCGCTTGTCCGGATTGAAGCCCCAGTTGTTCGGTGGGATACGGGTCAAGGTCTTTGCTCGACGTCGAGAACATCGACACGATTGGCTGATGATACCCGTTAGTCGCATTGCTGGAAGATGGAGTGTGGCCATATTGACCGCTATGCTCCGCTTGGGTAGGTGTGCCCACGTCAGGAGAGCCAGATCCCTCCACAAGATGGCCAGTCAGGCTATTCATTCCTCCTTCGATATCGCGGAGTAATCGGACATATTCCTCGGGCACCAGGCCGCTCTCTTGCGTCTTGGGGTCTTCGGCAACCAGCCAGCCTTGTCCGTGTCGATACGAAACCCAGATGATCTGGCCCTCAACCAGAGGCAATTCGTTTTCGTTCTCTCGTTCGAAATCGAACAAGGCAACGGCCTTGCCATGGAACTCTTCGTCCGGCGACGTAATAGTAAACTGATAATCTCGTGAATAGCGAGACTCGTCATTGAAGCCTGGGGACGATGGGGAGCTGTCAGACTCGGGCTGATAGTACTCACCGCCCTCGGCAGCCCTGGGTTGTTGAGCAATATGATATGCCCGGCTGTGTCGTGCCTGGTCTGGCGGATATGTGACAAAGTCTCCGCCAGGACCGTTGGCCTCGCTGCCATTATTCACATAGTAAGTTTCGCTGCCGTCTCCACTAGTTCCCATGTAGTAACCCCGCTCATGATCGTAGTTGGCCGAACGCACATCATCACGACCTGTCCTCCCCCTCATGCCTGTCGCTGCCGAAGTCGATTTGTGCTTGCGGTGGCGTGTGGCCACGACGGGGCTTTGCAAATCCTCGTCTTCGCTATATGGGGGGCCACCGTCGAACTGGATGGGAGCAAGGTCATGAGCACGGTTGAATCCTTCAGTACCCCACGACTCCCAAGGCATGCGTGCATCCAACGAGCCCGGAGGGTCTGACAATCGTCGGTGCTCGCTTGCGGGCGTTGTCATGCCCGATGGCGGGCCCGAAGGTTCAGGCGGCGGACCATAGTGTAGAGGATGAGTGACAGGGTAGGCAAAGTCCCGCACTTGGGTATACGAAAGAGTCGAGGGGAACATTGGAAATATGTGGGAGTTCGGACGGGATCTCGTAGGCAAAGAGCCTGTCGAGTATTGGGAAAGTCGGCTCTTGGAAACGTGTGACATTGGTCGGGACTGAACGCTTCGGCGCGATGACGGAGATGTGATTAAAGGTGGCAGCGCGGGGTGATTAGGGTTCGGCGAAGAGACTGCGGCTGCTGAAGGAGAGGTCACTGGAGAAGAGGTCGTCGACATAACTGCCGTCGCCGACATGCCTTTCAAGACAGAGTCAAGCGACAGTCGTGCGATCTGGCGCACACGGCCGCGCAACCGCCGGAAGATGGGCGTGCAGCAAAGGTCTCGCGGGGCTTCAGTAAGACTGACGGATAAATCAGTGCGGTCGCAGAACAGAGGACCCGCGGAAAGGTCAAGATCGTGGGGTTCGAAGTGATAGAAAATGTTGCGTTAGACAAAGACAATCTGCGCCAAAGAAATCAATGCGATACTCGATTCGCAGTGTGCAGTCTTGAACACTCGAGGTAGGGTCTTTCTTGTCCAAACAGAGGTGGTCGAAGCGGCGAACGTCAAGTCAGCCGTAACGCTAAGACGTTGAGTACCGTAGGTTGGCGGTCGATCAAAAGGCTCCAGTCGAGTTCCAAGTCGATGGTCAATGTAGCCCTAATGCAAATGATGCGAGACGACCAGTCGTCAGGCGACAAAAGCACAGGATGTATTTGGTTGCAAGTGTGGAGAGAGCGAGAAGCGAAGGAGTGTAAAAGAAACAGAGCAACAATAGTTACAGTAGCAACCGAAATAGAAACAGAAGAGAAAACAATGCCCTGCTCCTGGTGCTAGGAATGAACAAGGGCTCAGAACTGCTCAGCACTGTACAGTAACCGCAAATGGCCGTCCAATGTCTATGCCTGCGCTTGCGCTTCCAGGCCCTGGGCTGAGTTAGGATAGGATCCCGAGGGTTGCTGATGGATGAGAATGTAAGGCAGAGTTGGGTTAGGTTAGGTCAGAATGAAAGAAGCGACTGCCCACCCGACCTCAGAGCATGAGCCTGTCTTTGCTTGCTTGCGAGTGAGCGGGTGAGGATTGATGAGAGCCCGAGCCTAACGTTAGGACCTGGGGGAGACCGCACCCGGTAAGGGCGCCCGTTGGCA